GCTTCTAGGCACCGTCTCCGTGGCTAGCACCGGGCTCCCCTGTCTGTCTTGTGAGCAGAGACGTGGACGGTTAGCAGTGCCATGTTTCTTCCTAGAAGTGCAGCGTTTCTAGATGCTCGTTGTGAAGAGATGCATTGAACTTCAGATGGGAAGAAACAGAGGATGGGGAATAAGATTTATTCTGGTAACTGTATATTTAACTCACAGATTTATCTATTATAAGCAGATAAGATCAAGATGAAACATTGGCAAATAAAGACTAGGCAGGATTTCATCTAGTGCTTACTGAGAAATACCTGAGAACCTGGCAGTTGAGTTCCTGTTGGATTCTTCCTTAGAAGGAAACCAGTCCTTTGTCCAGTGTCATCTGATCCTTCTCTACAGTGTGATGAAGCCTCCTTGATCGGCTGTTACTTGAACCCAACAACGGTCCGTGTTATGTGCCAGGGTGGTGCACACACTGCTTACTATTTGCACAGAAGTTAAATTCTCCTTCACAATCTTAACCCTGCAGTAGCTTTCATAACTATTGTTGCACTTAAATGCTAGATAGGCTGATTGCCTGTCTCTGTGAGAAAAATGTTAATTTTTAAATAAACAAATAATAATCTTAATACAGTTCAGCTATACTATCCTAGCCTTCTTGTAAAATAGTTCACAGCATACTACCTTGAAATCTTCTTTGCCCCTACCAGAGACCTTCTCCTATCATACTTCATCAGTTTAACTTTTGGGAACAGTTATTTGAAAGGCATGCAGCATACACTCTGGATAATAAGCATGTTCCTCGGCAGATAAACACAAATTCTAAACTTAAAATTGGGGCTTTTTATTTTTATTTTTTTTACAATGAAAGATAAAGTCTTAAGAAATTGAGACTGACACATGAGAAGTTTGAATCTGGAGGGAGTAAGGCTTCCATTTGGAACAGAGAAAGAGAAAGCAGATACAGAATTGCAAGGGCTGAAATGGCAATGTTTCAAAGTAATGGAGAGACTTAAGAAATATTTTATCTTTGTTTACTGTTATTCCTCAGGGACTGGAAGTTCTCATCACTTAAGCTTAATTTTTCTCTGAGAATTTTTATAAAATAAGTTAATTATCTCTTAATTATTTATTAGTGTAGACACTACCTACATCCTCCCCCAACTTCAAAAACAGCTAAAGTGAATTTAAAGAGAGCTCAGAAATCTAAAGAGAAGGTAGAAGGAATACCTTTGGGGGTTTAGTGTGGTTCTGAGGTTCCTGTACGTCAGGACAGTGGGGAGCTGAGCTGCATTGTGGCATAGTTCTCACTGCCAGGTAAAGAAGAAAAAACAGACATGGGAAGTGGTGGCAACTATCAGATCTTTCCCACAGTGATCATAAGGTCCAGGTTTCACACTCATTTTATGTGAAACTGATGAATATCTAGAATTTTGTAGAAGAGTGCAGATTTTTGACTTTCAAGTTGTAAAATGTAAACATTGTCGCATACTTAAGATATACATAGTTCCAGAATGATCATTTTTGTTACCTACTCACTAAGCTGTGTCCAACTCTTGCCACCCCATGGACTGTAGCTCACAGTCCTCTGTCCATGGGATTTCCCAGGCAAGAATACTGGAATGGGTTGCCACTTCCTTGTCCAGGGGATCTTCCCAACCCAAGGATTGAACCCACAGTGCCTGCATTGGCAGGCGGATTCTTTACCAGGGAGCCACCAGAGAAGCCCATATATGTGTGAATCACTTTGCTGTTCGCCTGAAACATTGCGAATCAGCTAACTTCAATTTAAAAAATAATTAATTAAACAATTTACTGGAATTTGCAAAACGAGAGATGAGATTAAATGATAAGTACTGTGACTTAGTAATTTTTACTTGTTTATTTTTGTCAGCTACATAATGATTTTTGCTTAATATTCCAGAAAGGGCTATTGCATAATAATATATTACCTATTTAATAATATATTATTGTATAAATATACCTTTATATATATTATATAAATATCAACAACCTCAGATATATGAATGATACCACTCTAATGGCTGGAAGCGAAAAGGAACTAAAGAGCTTCTTGATGAGGGTGAAAGAGGAGCGTGAAAAGGCCGACTTAAAACTCACCATTCAAAAAACTAAGGTCATAGCATCTGGTCCCATCACTTCATGGCAAACAGAAGGGGAAAAAGTGGAAGTAGTGACAGATTTTTGCTTCTTGGGCTCCCACATCACTGCAGATAGTGATTGCAGTCATGAAATTAGAAGATGCTTGCTTCTTGGAAGGAAAGCTATGACAAATCTAGACAGCATATTAAAAAGTAAAGATGTCACTTTGCTGACAAAGGTCCATATAGTTAAAGCTATGGTTTTTCCATTAGTCATGTACAGATGTGAGAGTTGGACTATAAAGAAAGCTGAGCACCAAAGAATTGATACTTTTGAACTGTGGTGTTGGAGAAGACTCTTGAGAGTCCCTTGGACAGCAAGGAGATACAATCAGTCCATCCTAAAGATCAGTCCTGAATATTCATTGGAAGGACTGATTCTTAATGTTCAGCCAATAAAATTGGGAATTTCTATCCCTTCTATAATGGAGCTTCCCAGATGGCTCAGTAGTAAACAGTCTGCCTGCAATGCAAGAGATGCAGTTTCAATCCCTGGGTCAGGAAAATCTCCTGGAGAAGGAAATGGCAACCCACTTCAGTATTCTTGTCTGGGAAATCCCATGGTTAGAGAAGCCTGATGGGCTACAGTCCATGGGCTTGCAAAGAGTTGGACATGACTAAGCAACTAAACAACAAGAGCCACTTCTATAACATTACTAGGATAGTGTTCTTTACATTTAAAATTGGTAAGTAAGAAGAATTTTTGGTGGTAGAAAAATAGAGTGTAAATTGAAAAACTTTCTCTAAAATAGTTTTGTAATGTATTTTAATGACACCCAAGTGCAACCCAGGAAGCAACAGTTAGAACTGGACGTGGAACAACAGGCTGGTTCCGAATCAGGGAAGGAGTACATCAAGGCTGTATACTGTCACCCTGCTTATTTAACTTACATGCAAACTACATCATGAGAAACGCTGGGCTGGATGAAGCACAAGCTGGAATCAAAATTGCTGGGAGAAATATCAATAACCTCAGGTATGCAGATGACATCACCTTTATGGCAAAAAGCGAAGAACTAAAGAGCTTCTTGATGAAAGTGAAAAAGGAGAGTGCAAAAGTTGGCTTAAAACTCAAAATTCAGAAAACTAAGATCATGGCATCCGGCCCCATCACTTCATGGCAAATAGATGGGGAAACAGTGGAAACAGTCACAGAGTTTATTTTTCTGGGCTCCAAAATCACTGCAGATGGTGACTGCAGCCATGAAATTAAAAGACGCTTACTCCTTGGAAGGAAAGTTATGACCAACCTAGACAGCATTTTAAAAAGCAGAGACATTACTTTGCCAACAATGGTCTGTCTAGTGAAAGCTATGGTTTTTCCAGTAGTCATGTATGGATGTGAGTTGGACCATAAAGAACGCTGAGTGCCGAAGAATTGATGCTTTTGAACTGAGGTGTTGGAGAAGACTCTTGAGAGCCCCTTGGACTGCAAGGAGATCCAACCAGTTCATCCTAAAGGAAATCAGTCCTGAATATTCATTGGAAGGACCGATGCTGAAGCTAAAACTCCCAATACTTTGGCCACCTGATGCGAAGAACTGACTCCCTGGAAAAGACCCTGATGCTGGGAAAGATTGAAGGTGGGAGGAGAAGGGAATGACAGAGTATGAGATGATTGGATGACATCACCGACTCAATCGACATGAGTTTGGGTAAACTCCGGGAGCTGGTGATGGACAGGGAGGCCTGGCCTGCTGCAGTCCTTACCTGGGATGGTAAAGAGTCGGACATGACTGAGCGACTGAACTGAAGTGCCTTTAAAATTTCAGATGTAGCCATACGAATGTACATTATTAAAGAATTATTTTTCCCCTACTTAATATTTCTGCATACAAATTCAGATATTTTTCTCCTTTATTACACTGAGATATGATGCAGTTGGTCATTTTTTTAATTGATTTTTTAAAAATTTATTTTCAAGTTGATATATTATAAATTAGCCCTTTTTAAAATACTACAAAAGAGAAACAATTTGTCTTTAAGAGACAGTATTCTTTTAGGACATTTCTGCTCATCAACACTAAACCCACCATTGGCAGTGCCAGACTTAAACATGATGATAAGATCAGAAAACTTCTTTACACTCTTTTTCATCTTCGGGTTCCCTTTTTCCCTTCTTAGCATTTGATCTTCCTTTTCCCTTAAGGTTCCCAGTGTTTTTCCAGTCTTGCTGATCTGGGAATAAAGTCATTCACCCTAAAAGTTTTGGTGTTAGTGGTAAAGAATCGGCATTCCAATGTAGGAGACGTAAGATACGTGTGTTCAATCCCTGGGTCAGGAAGATCCCCTGGAGGAGGAAATGGCAAACCACTCCAGTATCCTTGACTGGAGAATCCCATGAACAGAGGGGCCTGGCGGGCTGCAGTCCATGGGGTTGCAAAGAGTCGGACACGACAGCGTCTGAGCATATAGCTACGTCCACACTGTTCCCTTCTAGGGCTATTTGTCCTCTTACAAGAACAGTTGTAAAAAATCAGTGATTGGAACATATACACGTACAGAAAAGAAGAGTGAATGAGTGGCTTCATGGGTGGATGGATTAATGAGTGATAGTAGGGATTCAGGGCTGAAAAGGTTTACCCATTGACCCCATACTGTTGAGGTGGCCAAAACGTTTGTTTGGATTTTTCTGTAAAGAGTAACCCAAAAACCTGAATGAGGTTTCTGGCCAACGTAGTGTATAGGTGTGTATACCCTGGTTTGTCCTGGTGAGAAGAGTCGATCAGGTAGATTCTGCCACTACTTTGCTGCTGTGGTGTGTTTGACACTGCCATGTAGTGTTAACTCTTTTTGTCAGTTTTCATACTAGCTTAAAACTAAATCTCTTTTTGTTTGTTTGATTGTTTTAAGGCTGAAAGAGCATATTCCTTTTGTGGAACCATTGAATACATGGCACCAGATATTGTCAGAGGGGGAGACTCAGGACATGACAAGGTATGTTCTGTTTTTGACACTTCCTGATGTATCTCCATAAAATGTATAATAAGAATCCTACTTAGTATACTTTACCAGACCCACTCCCACAACAGACATCTTCAATGGACAAGATTAGGACTAACAATAGAAAGGTCTTATCAGATCCACACCCACAATACAGTCTTAAGATAACAAGTACAGAAGACCTTGACAAGGCTAGTGCTGGGGGTGCTCTCCCTTCTGATGTCTGTGTCAGAGGCTTTCTCTGTCCTTGTTATACTTCAGTAAAACTCTGCTACACACACATACAGAAAGAATCCTACTTAGTAACTTAGGCTCTTCTGGTGCTGTTCCCTTTTTTTCCCCCTTTCCTTTGCATACACAAGCATATTATGATATCTAGTATTTTGGAGGAAAAAGATAACGGAAAGTTTAAAACATTCTAGATTTCCCCTTTTTTCCAAGTTTTGTTGATGAGGATAATTTTTTGTTTTAGAGAGTAATACTCTTGTTAAGGGAAACCACAAAATCGACTAATTCTTGAAATAATAATTTTTCTTTTATTTCCATTAAGTGTCTTGTCTTGAGCAAAGCATCAGTCGTAACCCTGCTTAAAACAAAAATCACTTTGGCTGCATGTGATCTGGCCTTTTAAGACACAGCTGAGCCGCAGAGCAGTGCGGAGGGGTCATGAGCGCCCAGACAGTCCATCCTGTTCCTGCTGGAGTCATGCAGCTCTGCATTCAGGGCAGTCTCAGTCTGTTTTCCTAAGCCCTCCAAGGAAAAGCTCCGTCTTTTTTTTTTTTTTTTACTCCTCGCTTCCTTTTGTATATGCAGAGTGAAAACTGTAGATGAGGCACTTTAAAACTAAGTAGTTTTAAAATCTAGGTCAGATATTTTTTCTTCCTGTAATGGCAGCCCACTCCAGCATCTTGCCTGAAAAGTCTCATGGACAGAGGAGACTGATGGGCTGCAGTCCAAAGGGTCACAAAGAGATGGAGACAAATCAGCACAAAACACTGGATTAAAGGGTTCAGACTTGTTAGATTTATTCAGTTTCTTCTTAACACTTTTGCTTTATTAATAACATTCTTGAAATAAAGAACTGGTTTTTTTTTTTAACTCATCTCCCCGTCTTCCTCATCCCCTTTCAAAATCTCAGATACACCGTGGGAATATCTTAAGGGTGGAGAATCAGTGTCACCTTGCTAATGACCAGTCATGTATTTAAGAGCCCGTAGGGGTTCTTTAAGTTTGTGTGGTATTGGCTTTAGTCCATGGCTTGGAATCTGATGATAGATCTGTATCAGTTTACGAGTGTGGTTCATATCCAGTGTTCTATGGATCCTGACTCAAATGACAGTAAAACTGCTTGTCTAAATAAAAGAACTGAATTACTGATTTGGTTTCTATGTTATTGTTACATATTTTCTTTAAAATAACTCCGGGTTCACCAACTTTACATCATCTCTCTGAAACCTTGGCCCTGGAATTTGAAGCAGAGAATTTAAAATTTTAGCTTCAGTTAATTTCTCATTGGTGTCAGCTCATATATTCAGCAGTTATTGAACTTGATTTGCCTAATTGTCAGAGACCTAATTTTCAATATATCAGGATTCTTTACATTTAGTAAATATAAATTGCTATATGTAAATTAAATATATAATTTGCTGTGCTGTCAGTTAACTGGTTTTATAAATTGTTTTCTAAAGTAGACCACATTTTATATTTTCAGCCTTTCCATTCCTCCCACAAACTAAAGACTGTTAGATTTATGTGATGGGTCCCCTAAGAGGAATTGATCACGGTGATTATGAAAAAGTAACTCCTTTTGATGGGTTATTTTTCATTTTCATTCTTTGACTTTAAGAAATTTCATATTTATTGGAACTGAATAATCAACAAATATGCTGATTAATACCTTTTTGCCCTATTATCATAAGTCTAAAGATTTTGCTAACTTAAAATTTTTAAATTTCACTTTTAAGAAAATTTTTGAGGGAGACAGAGAGGATAGATTGGGAGCTTGGGGTTAGCAGATGCAAACTGTCACGTATAGACTGGATAACAGCAAGGTCCTACTGCACAGCAGAGGAAACTGCATTCAATACCCTGTGACAGACGGTGATGGAAAAGAATATTAAAAAGAATGTGTGTGTATATATATATATACATACACATATATATAACGGAACCACTTTATATAGCTTTATTTTGTTCATTTTTCTTTTTTTATAAGATATAATTAGTTAATATTCTAGAAAATGAAATGTCTGTTGTTTTATAGGCAGTTGACTGGTGGAGTTTAGGTGTTCTAATGTATGAATTACTAACTGGAGCATCTCCGTTCACTGTTGATGGTGAGAAGAACTCCCAAGCTGAGATATCTAGGTAAGACCTGACAAAAGAAAATAAATGTGTTGTTTTCTCAAAGGACCTGATCAAATTTCTGCAATTTGACTGATAGAAAAAATAATTTTTTAATGAAGCAGACAAAAATGGGGTAAGCAGTACATTTCCAATTATATTTCCATAGGATTTAGCTTTATAACCTTTATACCTCTTTATATTTTACATGCCCAGTCAGATCTTACTTCTCATAGTGTCGTAACTTTGCGTGCTCCAAGTCATTTACTGTGTTGTTTTAACCTAGCGTTTATTTGCTGGGTACTTTTACCCCAGTGTACACATCATGTAATGTCTTTGTGACTTCAACATAAAGAAACAGTAGTTATTTTTCAGATCATGGATATAAGCTCAATGGAAACAAATACCATGAAATCACCCTCTTCTAGGTTATCATAGCCTTATTCTGTTCCTTTCCTTCAGAGCAGTTAGCACAAGTGCAGCGCTGCATTTTTGTTTGTATTATTTGACGAGTGTGTCTCTCCCACTGAATTGTGAGCTCTGAGAGCCAGGGCGAGTCTGGCTTTGGTCCTCACCATGGTATGCTTGGAGGCCAGCACAGGGCTCACCACGCAGAATTAATTCAGTAAACGTTTTCAGAATGAAATGAGTTAATGAACAAATAAACGAAGCATGATAAAGCAGTTTAGTGATTACTCGTTACGTTTTTGTCCAGTTTTTACTTGAATTTTGTAACTTTGAGAGCAGATTTGACATTAAACATTGAGACCTTACACCTATTGCCAAGATGGACTAACAGGGACTGGAGTTACTTCCCTTCCTGAAACAGGTTTTTAAATGGGCAAAAATAGATGAAACAACAGTATTGAAGACTTTGAACAGCCCAGCAGTGAAGCCCAGTGAACACTGAGGGACGGGAAGTAAATGAGGTGAGCCCCTGTTACTGCCAGGCTTAGGCCTCAAGAGAAGATGCAGTTCAGGGTGGGAAACGCCGTGGAGCTGAGACGGAAATGACGACTCAGCAAGGCCGGCGAGGCTGGAGTCCGCAGAGCGGCGTGCTGGAGAGGAGAAGGCTGCAGAAGGAGCAGCCCGGAGCTCTGTGGAAGGAATCCTTCAAGTGTTAGTTAAGCGCTGATAAGTACATGTAGGAGGAAACTACTCAATTTACTTACTTAAGATGTTATTTCTCTCCAAATTAATCTAACAGATTCAACACAATTAGAATCCCAGCTGGCTTTTTTTTTTCCAGTTGAAATTGACAACTTGGGTCTAAATGCATAGGACCTAGAAGGGCCAAATCACCTTTGAAAAAGTAGACCACATTTGATTTGAAGACTTACAAGCTACAGCAGCTAAGACGCTGTGGTGTTTGTATCAAGTAGACAAATCACTGATGAAGTAGAATAGAGTCCAGAAATAGAACCACACGAATTTAGGTAACTGGTTTTTTTTCTTTTACAAAGTTCAGTGTCAGTTTGGTGAAGAAAAGATGGGTTTTCAACAAATGATGCTGGAACCATTGGCTATTGTATGGGGGAAGAAATAAACTCCAATAAATACTTCTTGCTATAGAAAACTTTTAAATGGATCACAGGCCTAAAAATCCCCAAATTACAAAAATTTGTAAAGGAAAAATCTTTGTGGCCTTGGGTTAGGCAAAGGCACAAAATGTGCAATCTGTAAAAGCAAACATGGATAAATTAGATTTTATCAAAAATAAGGCCTTCTGTTCTTCAAAAGAAACTTTCAAGAGGGTGGAAAGACAAACCACAGATTGTGGTAAAATTACAAATTATGTCTGTTGATAAAGAACTGGTATGCAGATTATATAAAGAGCTCTCAAAACTCAAGGGAAAAAACCCTTCCATTTTTTTTAAAAGGGCAAAAGATTTGAACAGTTCACCAAAGAAGATATATGAGTGGCAGATGAGCACATAAAAAAGTGACCAGCATCATTAGTCTTTAGGGAAATGCAAATCCAACCACAGTGAGATAGCTCTGTATGCTCCCTGGAATGACTAAAAATAAAGTGACTGACCATTTTAGGGCTCTCCAGGGAAAGAGGACCAATGAGATATACATACACATAAATAAAAGGAGATTTATCGTAAGGAGTTAGCTCAGCTAACTCCGGTTATGTCAGCTGAGAGGCCCAGAACCTGCCTCTGAAAGCTGGAGCTCCGTGGGAGCTGCAGAAAGTCTAGTCCAAGCCCGACGGCCTTAGAACGAGAGGAGCCAGTGGTGTGAATCGCAGGGGACCAGTGTCCCAGGTTGAGCAGGCAGGCCGGAAGGGGCCAGACCCTCTCTTCTCTGCTTTTCTTCCTGTTCAGGCACCTATGGAATTGGCTGGTGCCACCACATTGGGAAGGGGATTCAAATACCAGTCTCATCGAGAAATACTTTCTTAGACACACCCAGAAATAATGTTTACTCTCCACCAGTGACCCAGTCACATGGCACGTGAAGGTAACCATCACAAGCCCATCCCCATCACCTTGACTGCCACTTGCATCTCCTTAAACTATACTTGATCTCCAAATAAAGATAATAACAAGATTGTAAGTCCACCTAACATAATATGGGTCTACTGCCAGCCAGTTAACCCTTTCCCCAGAAGAGATCGTAAAGTCCTCGAGTGGTATAGTGATGTGTGCTCTTCCCTTTGAGATCCTGTAACTTAAATACTATAGTATGAATTTAAAATACTTAGACCATGGTATGAGGTCAGTGCATCTTATCGTATATATAAAAAATAAGGCAGGGGAAAAACAAACATCTATTTATACACACACGTATTCATAACAAAGCAGGGAGGAAATACTCCTGTCAGTAAAGTCCTCATTTCTGTAATTGGTTACATAGAAACGGGGTCTGTGTCACCAGTCTGTAGAGTCTGTGTAACCTGGGGTCTTAGCTGGTATATGTAACTGCCTTCTTCCAGCACCCACTTTGTATTCCTTTTGCCTTCAGCAGGTACCTCAGATTGTGGGGTGACCCCAGACCTCATTCCCAGAGTCTGGGCCGTTAGTAGTCCTGCCTACATTGAGTTGTTGTTTTCAGGCGACCATCACAGGGCGTGGTGATAGTAACAGACACCCTAATGCGTCTCCTGTGCCCCAGGCACGCTCTTCCTTGCCTCCCTTGTGGAACAGCAGTCCAGCGCCCCATGGTGGTTAGGACCGTTCGTCCCCGCCGCTGTCACAGCTTCTGCTGCCTGTTGCTTCAGAGGCGTGGGGAAGTGGCTCGGTGGCCGTCTTAATTTCCAGGTCAGTGGAGTCACTGTTAAATCTCTTGGAGGAAGCATTACTTCCCCTGGAACTAAGACCTTTACGCCAGCAGAACATAAAGTCATGGGAATAGAAAGCACATATTTTGCTAGTGAATCACTTCGAGTAAGAGTAAGTGGTCCCACTCCCATATCTACTGCTTGATTTCTGGACTCATGAATCCTGGCTATGAGAGAAACAGCACCATATACTGGATGTAGATTCTGAGGGTTTTAGCCTTCTGGAGAAACCTGCCACCCTAGATTGCGTGGTAACTGAATCTTCAAATGATCATTCCACCATGATTATCAAGCCAGCTGCCTCAGAAGGGTGGAGAACATGGTTAAGACCAGTGAATTCCAAGAGCGTGGTCTATTGCTGTACTTTTTTGCTATGAAGCGAGTTCCTTGATCAGAAACAGTGCTGTGCAGATACCATGATAGTGCATAGGGAATTTTTTTAAGCCTGCGAATTGCAGTTTTGGCAGAAATATTGCTTGTAGGAAAAGCAGTCCGTATCCATAGTGTCTACTCTAGTTACAGTGAAAATCTGTCCCCTCTACAATGACAACAATCCGGTGTAATCAACCTGCCCCCAGAGGCTGGCTGACCACTCTGGGAGCTGGTGCCGCATAAGGTACTCTGTGTTGGTCTCCATGCAGTGACCTGAAGCCAGATGAGCCTTGGTGAGCGGAAATCCTGCCGCTGAGTCTGCACCGCAGCTCCAGCCCTGCCTCCGTGGCTACCTTGCCCACGAGCCTGCTGGCTGATGGCAGGGTTCGCTGGAGAGAGGCTGACAGACCAGCCCTCCCACTTGACTGTTAAAAGCCCGCTCTGCTCAGGTCATCCTGCAGTGAGCACTCACACAGGACACAAGAACCTTCACAGTTTTGCCCAGACAGGTCTGTCAACAAAGCTTTTCCCCAGATACCTTTGTCAAGTAGATTTCCTTGTCACCAACTTTCCACTCATATTCCTTCCAAGTCCCTGACCAGCCAAATTGTTGGCCACAACCCATTAATGAATATAAAATTACATGTCTGGCCTTTTGTCCTTCCAAGTGCAGTGAACGACTAGGTGTACTGCTCAGCATTCTGCCCACCAGGAGGGTTTGCGCTCACCTTTGCACATCGTGCAGAGCTGTTTGTGAGCCAAGCCTGAGTCTTCTGTCTCTCTTTCAGCCACGGTAGGGTCTCCCAGTGTGGCCATCCATAAATGCAGACTGGTGGAGAGAAGGCAGCGTAGCAGGAGACGGGGCCATGAGCATTTGGGCCGCTCCTTCACGTAGCATATGGCATCTTCAGCGCCTGCTCAGCCCAGTCTTGTGTTTGCTATTTCCATTTGATGGTGGAGTATTGCTGTGTGCTCCCAACTGTACAGTTTGATGGACCAGATAAACGGGCATCTCGGGTGGCGTGTGACTTGGGGGCCCAAAGTTAAGTGTTCAGGCCAAGTAGCAGACCAAGAACTCTTTCTCAAAAGGGGAGTAGTTATCCTCAGAAGATGGCAGAGATTTGCTCCAAAATCCTAAGTGCTCTAGTTTACCACTCAGGGCTGCCAAAGGCTCCAAACAACATCCCTGTCTGCCACTTCCAGCGCCCCTGGATCTGCTGAGTCAGAGGAGCCCAGAGAGAGAGAGCAGCTTCACAGTGGCCTGGGCCCGTCTCCTGTTCTGGACTCCACTCAACAGCAGCTTTTCAAGTTGCTTGGTAAATTGGCTGGAGTAACACACTCAGTGATGACTATGTCGCCTTCCACA